TTATCGTTGGCTCTAAAACTCTAGCTGTGCAGAGAACCCATTTCATAGTAAAATGAGGGGTGCAGTTAAGGAGTTTGCACAATATTTACCCCTGAAATGCACTTTTACCAAAATACTGTGATGTAGGCTAATTGATATGTCCATTTATTTATTTATTTTTTTTGTAAAATTGAAAGCTAAAACATTTGTCATTTGATTTTTTTTTCCACACAGTGTATCATCACTGTATTGTATTTATTTGTTTATTTCACTTTTCCAATAATAATATGAGATGTCATTTTAATGTACTGTTGTTATTTAAAACTAAGCAAGTCAAATGGAAAATCTGGAAATTATGGGAGTTTTCTGGGAGAAAAAACGAAAGGGAGGGTGTCGGGAATGTGCTTTAAGGGGGCTTGAAAAAATGTGATCCATTTTGTTCTTTGTTCTTTTTTATATGTGGATAAAACAATTGTATTCTTTAATTGTATTCTGTACGCTTTTATAAAGTTTCTTGAAATAAAACAAACGCAACTTAATTAAAAAGAAAGAGCATTTTAAAGATGTGCATGTTGTGAACATAGACTGGAGGTTGTGAGTGGGTTTGGCAACCCTGAAAGCAAAACAAAAATTCAACTGCCCCTGGTCATGTCATCTTAAAGAGCAATGGGGCCCTCTAGTGGTCCATGGGCCCTCCGCAACTTTTGTATTTCTCACAGGCTTGTTTAGTTGCACGTGGGACACGTAGACTATTTCGTTGCTCTATTTGTTCACGACTGACCTTTCCAATTTCACATCAAACACCGTGAGCGAATACCTGATGACGCTGTTTACCTTTTGCCCTTTAATGCGTCGTTATTAATTAATGACTGAGTGTCGCAGTCGCTCGCTCACAATGCCGAAGGCAATGCAGAATAAACATGCTGGAAACTACAACAGGGAACCCGCATGTAAATTTATTTGGGAAACACGTAAGTGGACCACGTCATTTAGATGGGTCGGATCATATAAAAAAATCTCAGAAGGAGAGACAAATTGGTTTATTTATCTGATGATACTTCTAGTGCACTGAGGAGGTTTAAACTGAGCTCATAATGATGCTTGTATGTCTGGTGAGTTACATGACTTTTTTTTGTTTTGTTTTACTACTGCTGGACCTATGCAAAAGAATGAGTAAAATAAAATAAAAATAAAAAACTGTATATTGTTGTGTTTATTTTGAACACATTTCTAAACATAATAATTGTATAACTCATTACTATAATGACAGTAGCTACATAATAATTGACTAGAAATTTTTCAAGACACTTCTATACAGCTTAAAGTGATATTTAAAGGCTTAACTGTTAATTAGGTTAACTATGCAAGATAGGGTAATTAGGCAAGTTATTGTATAGCAATGGTTTGTTCTGTAGAATAATGAAAAAAAAAAAATATATATATATATATATATATATATATATATATATATATATATATATATATATATATATATATATATAGCTTAAAGGGTCTAATAATGTTGACCTTAAAATAGTTTTTTTTATTTATTAAAAACTCCTTTTATTCTTGCTGAAATAAAACCAATAAGACTTTTTCAGAAGAAAAAATAATATCAGACATACTGTGAAAATTTCCATGCTCTGTTAAACAATCTTTGGGATATATCTAGTTTTTTTTTGTTTTTGGAGGGGGGTTGTATAAAAAAATTGTATATAGCCTACTTTTGGGCGAAGCAGTGGTGCAGTAGGTAGTGCTGTCACCTCACAGCAAGAAGGTCGCTGGTTCGAGCCTCGACTCAGTTGGCGTTTCTGTGTGGAGTTTGCATGTTCTCTCTGCGTTTGCATGGGATACCTTCGGGTGCTCCGGTTTCCCCCACAGTCCAAAGACATGCGGTAGAGGTGAATTGGGTAGACTAAATTGTCCGGAGTGTGTGTGTGATTGTGTGTGTGGATGTTTCCCAGAGATGGGTTGCGGCTGGAAGGGTATCTGCTGCGTAAAAACTAGCTGGATAAGTTATTAACCCCGGATTAATAAAGGGACTAAGCCGACAAGAAAATGAATGAATGAATAGCCTACTTCTATCACAAGGAGTATCAGCGAGTGTGATATTGCTTTTATAAAACAGTTCAACAGCGTAATGTAGATATGTAAATAAAATTAAAAGTTACGAATAAAACTTTTGTATTGCCTACTCTTCAGATCTTTAAACAGAACTGCATTTATAACTATGCTATGCTAATATGAAATAAAATAAGATTACATATATATGTGCAACAGTTCGACAGCATAGTCATGTATATAACAAATCTAATCAAATTCCCTTTTTTTGGGGAACTACTTTCTTCTGCCATGTATTTAAATCTGCAGCTGACCATCTAAAGAGCAGAATCCTTTGTTAATTAAAAAACGTCACTTCAGAACTAGTATTCGTAATATTGCAATGTCTTAGTAATAACATAACCTTAACAAATTACATTTCACAACCAACTACTATCAGACACCCATCAGACTCCTGAATAAGTATGGGTCGAGTCATCAGAGGAGGTAAAGATGCTGGTAATGACATGCTGGAAGTCTCATCGCAAATCATCAAAACACATTTTGAAATAGACACTGTCCCTATAAATAAACTGCATATTTGCAATCTAAACCACTGCTTTCTCAGCTAGAAAAGTCTCAAAAGTTCATCTTGACGTTCAAACTGTTGTCAAACTACTGTGCGTTTAGTCCTGTGCTTGGCACTCGCTAGAGTGATCACTAGAATATCGCATATATAAAATGTATAATGAGTGTAAAAAAAAGTGCATCAAAAGGAATACATTAAAACACTTCAAGTCTGGTTGTAATTTGCCTTTTAAATGTTTTACCAACATTAAAAGGTCAGCAAAAAGTTCTTAACACAAATGTATATGTGTAGTAAATACCTGTAGTTACTGAGAAAGTTATAGTTACCTTCTATGCCTACTAGAGCTGCACAATTAATCATAAAAAGATCTTGATTCGACCCCCTAGACCAGGGGTGGCCAACCCTGTTCCTGGAGATCGACCTTCCTGCAGATTTCAGTTGCAACCCATATCAAACACACCTGCCTGTAATTATCACGTGGTGTTCAGGTCCTAATTAATTGGTTCAGGTGTGTTTGATATGGGTAGCAACTGAAATCTGCAGGAAGGTGGCTCTCTAGGAACAGGGTTGGCCACCCCTGCCCTAGACGATCTTAATACAGCATTTCGGTTTTGTCAATCATATTGTTAAGTTCAGGAGAGAAGCAAAGAAGGCTGCACAAGCCTTCACATTGTTTTACATACGTTGTTCAGCATTGTGGACACCTCCAAATGGTGTTGAAAGAGTCACATGCTGTATTTATAAGATATAATTTACCCCAAAATTGTCATTTCTGTCTTCATGTAATGATGTATTTGCGAACGTAAAATCACACGTGACGTGAGCTGACTGTCTTTTACCACAGAGAGGGTGGGCGCGCACCTCTGAATTAAGTCTACTCTAGTGAACAGAACCTGCATATGCTGTGAATAAGAGGTAATAAAGTTGTAAATAACATTCCGTTTGTGGCACAGAGAAATCGTTTGGAAGCCGTGTGAGAAGTGAACCACTCTTAACAGTGAAAATGAAACAGAAAGCGCACACATTGTTGCCAGATGTAGCTGACTGATTCCAGCCCAAAAAGTATCCAAAACCCGCCGAAATGCAAAAATACCCACCCAGTCTTCTGTATTCACGAAAATTAGGTCAGTGACAGATTTTAAGCAGAAAATGACAGATTGTAAGCAGGGGCGGACTGGCCATCTGGCAATTCTGGCAAATGCCAGAAGGGCCGGACCATTTTTTTAAAATGTGGGCCGGTCAGTTTTTTATTTTTATTTTTTATTTTATTATTATTTTTTATATGTATTGTTTTTACATGCAGGCAGCTTTTATCTCGTGCAACATGTGAATATTATGATGACATTGATGATGGTAATAATAGTAAATGTTAAGCATTTGGCCCAATCGGTGATAGTTTCGAGAGGGGCCGACTCAATCAAAGGTTACGCGGAGATAATCAAAATCTGGCAAGAATGTCAAACAAACAGTACGTATGGTAATGTGGGCTGGTGTGGCTATAGTGCCAGGGCTGAATTTTTGTCCCAGTCCGTCCCTGATTGTAAGCATATGTCTCAAACACAATAATTCAACATCAGAATTATCATCAGCATTAATGACCAGGACAAATCTAAAGTCCACCATTCCAAGTCTATACAAAATTTAGCACTTTAACCAACAGTAGACCTACACAAAGCCTATTGCTGTTTTACCACATTGAGAATAACAATAATAATAGCCCACTCATATTAACCTTTATTTTACATCTACAGAATTGTGAGAAAATCCTGATCTTTATTTTAGTCAAAAAAAATTCTCATTTTAGCCAGAATCGTGCAGCTCTAATGCCTACCCTTTAAATATTTAACTGATGAATGACAAATGAATTATGCTAAGTTTGATGATACAGAATAAACACTTTGATTGTTGTATTGAAGCTGAACAAGTAAAGATGAAGAAAAGGAGAAAGAATAAAAATACAAGGGCCCTAAAAAAGAACAAATGCAGAACCAATTTACTAAGCCATGGCCATTGTGGTACAAGAATGCAAATAGCAGGATCAGGAATGCAAATAAGAAAATACTGGGGCAATAAACATTATAACTGTTGTATATACACCTGAAGGGACTTTAATGCACAGAGAACAGCAAAATATGGCAAAAGTAATAAGTTAATAACAATAACAAAAATGCATAAAGCTTAAGAAACATACAGCTACACACATGCAAAAAATCTACCTTTACTGGCCATATATATATAAATTACATAATATAATTAAAAGGACCAATTCTGGTCCTTTTGGTCATGGGAGGTGGCAGAACGAATGCCCCCTGGCAATGGTCATATGTGTGTGTGTGTGTGTGTGTGTGTGTGTGTGTGTGTGTGTGTGTGTGTGTGTGTGTATATATATATATATATCTGCTTTGTTTTTCAGTTGGTGTTGCTGGTGACAGGACTGTCCAGCGCAGAGCGTTACCCCTGCTCCACATGCAACTGCACAGCGGCAGAATTTCTAAGTGTTTCAAATCATCTCATATACCCCATTTTAAATTATGACGTCAGCACTACATCTCTGTCTCCTTGGACATACAAGTAAGCAGATTCACATAATAGCACTATTCTTTAATTATGGCTGCATGGAGTGAAATGTGTGTTTTTCCAGATGCACTAAGGATATGGACAGGATTCCAATGGTGCTTTGTAATGCGGTCTGTGATCAGCCATGCTGGAAGTTCAGCAAAGCTGCCAAACCAGCAGGAATAAAGGTGCGAATAAGCACTTTTCGAAGGCATCCATGTGATAATGGCCGCTACAGACTCTCCAGAACACAGTATAAACTGATTGTTGGATGCACTTGTGTTAAATAATGCGTTATAAAGAAATGTTATGCATGACATTACCATTATGTGTGTATTTAAATAGATTTTTATTTATTTATTTTTTTTATTTTACTGTTATATACTAATGTAATATACTGCTGTATGTTGTCAAATTTACCAGGTTGTAACCATGCATGTGCAACATGCTGTGCAAACATTTTTTCAAGAATCAAAAGTGAAATAAAGCTTTAAGATTTTTTCCTGTTGTTGTCTTGCTGAAATGTCCACCCTGGTTTCATCTTCATCATCCTGCTAATGTTGGACTGAAGCAGCTGATATTCATTTACACTAAGGAGGGGCTGAGGGGGTTGCTGAGCTACTGTCTGAGCTTTTCATGTCATTCTACACCTCCCTTCTACACCGCCCTTCTACACCTTCCCTCCCTTCATGTGTTCAATACTTTTATTCTGTGTCATTAATTTTATTACACATCACCAGATTTGTAGACTAATTAGACTTGTTTTCTTTTCATATATTGCTTTGGTTGTTACCAACATCTGGTAATAAATATGTTTAAAATAAATATTTTCAATATGTTAGAAATATGTTGCCTGAGAAAATTGGTGACGTGTTCAATAATTATTTCCCCCATTGCATATATAGTGTATTACTAATTATGTATTGTCAATAAATGGCTCTGCAACTTGTTAATCTGAAACTGTTTTTCGAGTTTCAAAAAAACAAAAAAAGCATTATTTTATAAGTCATTATGCAAAACAAATGTTGAAAAAAAAAGCTTGTGTGTAATTTACTCACGCAAATAATTCCGCATTTAGTGTGGAAGCATTTTTAAGTCGTTGTGCCTGTTATCAGAAGTGCGTCTTCAATAATGTTATGTCAATCAGACATTGAGAACACGTAAATAGTTTCTGTGAACAAGTTGTGGTATTTGCACTTCGCCTAAATAGACTTTCCGAAACTGTCTATTTTTATTATCCTTGCCAGGGGGAAATAATCATGTAGAAGCAGATGTTTAGCCAGACTTTTACATACATACATATTGACTGGCTTCAATATAAACTGTTTTAGACAAACAAGTAAGTTTTGAGTTCTGAAACTTACAGCATGTTTTAGTACAGTGACTAAAATATCCCTGCCTTGGAATTATAAGGTTCTATCTGCATTCTGAATGATTTTGAAATATTGAGCTTCAAAAATTTGGCATTTGATACAGCAAATAATATACAGTTTTCTTATACAGTAACATGACAGAGACCATAAATGCACACCCATATAACCCTGCAGCCCAAGACCAGTTAAGCTGTGCTAAAAAATTTGTCCAGTGCAGATGTTAATTTTATGTAATTAATATGGTTATATTTATTGAATTATATGCTTTAGAGGAATTATATTTAATATTATATGCCCCGTGAATTAAATTAAGTATTTGCCCTTCAAGGCTTAATATCAAATTTAAAGACTACAGACAATAAGCTAATGAGTTGTTTAAAAGTTTAACAAGTTTAACTGACTTTCGACTTTGCAGATAAAACCTTTATTTGTTTTTAAATAAAAAGTCTTACAATGTAAACAACTTATAAAAAACATCATATAATGTAAATGAGTCATTTAATAAGAATATGTGAATATCTCAATTTTGACAAAAATGTCAAACCATAATTCTAAGGTGACTATATGTTAAAAGATCTCTGTTCATCACCACTAAGGTCACAAGTTCTGTCTTTACAGATTTGCCGTTTCCCAAATCCATCAATCCAGTGAACATTCGCAAACTGCGTCACAAACTTGTACGCTTGCAACTACACCTTTGGAGCTGTAGTTAGAAACATATTTCCTGGCTAAATTTTATTCCTAGTTATCCACCCTATGCCCTTTTCATTTAGAACATTCTAACATTTAAACTTGGAATGATTTGAAAAAAAACAAAGCATTAAAGTCATCTTTCTTACGTGTAATTTGCTTTCAAAGTATTTTTACAGTTCAGTTTTAGTGATCTTCATGTTTACAATTGTGCTCCCTTAGCAGTGCACTTTGAAAACATTTATGTCATTTTCAACACAGCCGTGGCTCATGACAAAAGCTATGGGTGACCTATTACTTAAAAGTGGAATTAATGTTACGTCTCCAAAGCTTGTGAAACAAAAAACATAGCATATGTTAATGCTTTTAATTTATAGTAGGTTATTAATTAAGTATCTGTACTGTATATGACATGGGCCTGCTAGTTAGAACATTTCTGCAGTGGTTTGCATGTGGCAAACTGTAAAAGTAGACTTTTCAAAAAAAATAATAATAATAATAAACAACATCCAACTTAATAATAATAATAATAATAAATAATATTAATCATTAATATTATTCATTGTATTGTTGAATTAGGATTTTTTTTCATTTTCTAACAAATAATAAATAATCAATTTCATATCTTAGTAAATAGTCTCTTTATATATGATTTATATATGATATTAGAATATCTTTTGTAAGGGATTTTGTTTTTTTTAATTTAATATGCAATGTTCTCAGTACTATTTGTAAAGGAAATAGGCTCTATATGTATTCAATTAATGTGGAAAACGAGTGCATGTTTTTAACAAATAATATTTTTCCAATGTGCGTGCCTCTAAAACAATATAATTTGCACAAAAAATAGATCCCCATTTAGAGCATTATTATGGGAGTTTGTTGTGGAGTTCATTCAAGCCTTTCTGCAACGATGAGTCACACACAATGTCGTTACAAAGTTCATGTACACACACAGCGCTCGCGTTTAACTTTGCACTGTTTTTGCATGGCAAGTTTGACAGAATATATGTTATTATCTGCTGCATGGATCTACGTTGTGTTCATGTACAAAAAAAAAAACTGATTTAACAACCAGATTAAAGCGTCTTCTTTTATAATTGTACTGACACGTGGGTATGTTAAAGATGCCAAAATCACTGAAAAAAAAGAGACTCTTTGACTTATTGACTGTGGACACACTATACCTACACACAGTTCTGTCTAAACAGCTTACATAAGATGATATTCGTCATGTCAGCATGAAACAGATGCAATGAAGTAAAAAAAAAAAAAAAAAGATAAAAATAGAGCAGGACTTGTTTTTTTGTCCATGGAAAATTGATTGGATGTTTGTAGTTTGCTGTTTGTTGATCTCATGTGAATAACAGGTTGTTCTGCCTTCATTGGCAAACACTTAATCCAAGATGACGAGAGATGTTGAAAATATTTCACAATACTCAAGTCAGCGTTGACTTCCGGCTCACACAAACTTTGGAATGAGAGGTATTCCCTTTCCCTCGTGTAACTCATTTCATGTGTCATCTTCCACAGACCCGCGTAATAGTATTTTGCCTCAAGCTTTACAAAGCTAGCCTCTATTGTTTAGCATTTAGCGCATCAGAAAAAAAAGCACAAAACACAGCAGGTGTGAAATAGCTGGATAGCATTAGCGTTGACGTTTGTTATTTTGGTTTTGCTTCCTTCAGAATACTCAAGCAAGGTGGTCATACCCGTGGGTTTGCACCATATTTATAGAATAGAATATATGAATAGAATTCCAGTGAATGTTTTAATGAATTATGTATGTGCGTAAGCTGCATCTCAGCTACAGGATTGTTACTAGAAGGGATTCAGCTGCAGCCGGAAGTAACAAAAACTAATTTGTAATATTTATTAAATTACCCATTAGTTGTATGTTATTAACATCCACCAACCCTCACAGTAATTATTTTTGTACAGTTTCAGAGGAAATATGCTATATTGATGTGTGCAGATGCAGCTGATACAGCAATTGTATTATATTTTAAATGATTAACTTAGTGTTTCAATGATATTGACAAATTTAAAGATTTAAAAAGTCCTAAATTGTTGGATTCATCTCTTAATGTATGAGTTAAGAAGTTCTATTTGATTGATGTCATCTTTTCATATGTGTTGTCCTTGAGGTCCTCAATGCTTGGTATCATCTCTTCACATGTGTTGGATCACATCATGGCACTGCACAATCCAATAGTATCTAAATGCAACCTTAATGATTAGATTGCATCACTCAACGATGCAATGTCAGACACGATGCACTCAATGGAGTGAGTGAGGTCATTCTGATGGGTTAGAGGCGGGGTAAGGTGAGCGTATTAAAAAGCACTGGATGCAGCTCAGATTGCACTGCACCAGGTCTGCATCTAGACTTCTTTCGCACAATCTCTACAGGCCTCGAGATGAGTATCCCCATGTGGAACTAGAGAACAAAGAAAATAATTAGCGTAGCTGCTCTTGATAATGTTTTTAAACAAGAGATATTAAATATCAAAGCAAAAATGAAGTGATGAAAATGAAAATATCAGTTATATAAACAAACATAGAAACAAACTTAAAGCAAAGCATATAAGTATTTTTTAACAAAATGTCTGGTACATTAAGACAGGAGGAGTGTGTCCTACAGGTGTTTGTCAAGCACTCTCATGCATATTGTTTTTGATGCATTGTGTGTATGCTTTACTAAAAAGATAGATCTTTAATCTAGTTTTAAAGTGAGAGTGTGTCTGAGCCTCGGACATTATCAGAAAGGCAATTCCAGAGTTTAGGGGCCATAAATGAGAAGGCTCAACCTCTGTTAGTGGATTTTGCTATTCTAGGTAGGCTACTACCAGATGCTCTAAGTTTTGAGATCTTAAAGAGTGGGTTGGATTGTAGCGAGACAGAAGGTTTGTTAGATAAACAGGAGATAGATTATTTAAAGTGTTACAGGTAAGAAGCAATATTTTATAATTAATACAGAACTTAACAGGCAGCCGGTGTAAGGAGGATAAAATTGGGTGATGTGATCAAAGTTTCTAGGCAGAAAGTATCTGGCTGCTGCATTTAGCATTTGCTGAAGTTTATCAAAAGAGGATGCTGGGCAACCAGCAAATAGAGCATTACAGTAACTCAGCCTAGAAGTCATAACAGCATGAACTAGCTTTTCTGCATCTAAGATGGATAGCATACTTTGTAACTTAGTGATATTTCTCAGGTCAAAGAAGGTGGTTTTTGTTAAATGAGACAGGAGATATTCAACTGTTAAGTTGCTGTCTAATATAAAATAAAATATTTCACAATACTGAAGTAAAGTCAACGTTGACTTCCGGCTCAAACAAACTTTGGAATGAGAGGTATTCCCTTTCCCTCATGTAACTCATTTCATGTGTCATCTTCCACAGACCCGCGTAATGGTATTTTGCCTCAAGCTTTATAAAGCTAGCTTCTATTGTTTAGCATTTAGCGCATCAGAAAAAAAGCACAAAACACAGCAGGTGTGAAATAGCTGGATAGCATTACTGTTGATGTTTGTTATTTTGGTATTGCTTCCTCCAGAATACTCAAACAAGGTGGTCGTACCCGTGGGTTTGCACCATATTTCACACTGAAAATAATTCCAGTGAATGTTTTAATGAATTATGTATTTGCGTAAGCTTCTTCTCAGCTACAGGATTGTTGCTAGAAGGGATTTAGCTGCAGCCGGAAGTAACCAAATCTAATTTGTAATATTTATTAAATTACCCATTAATTTTATGTTGTTAACATCTATCAACCCTCACAGTAATTATTTTTGTACAGTTTCGGAGGAAATATGCTATATTGATGTGTGCAGATGCAGCTGATGCAGCATTTGTATTATATTTTAAATGATTAATTTAGTGTTTCAATGATATTGGCAAATTTAAAGATTTAAAAAGTCCTAAATTGTTGGAATCATCTCTTGATGTATGAGTTAAGAAGTTCTATTTGATTGATGTCATCTTTTCATATTTGTTGTCCTTGAGGTCCTCAATGCTTGGTATCATCTCTTCACAGGTCTTGGATCACATCATGGCACTGCACAATCCAATAGTATCTAAATGCAACCTTCATGATTAGATTGCATCACTCAACGATGCAATGTCAGACACGATGCACTCAATGGAGTGAGTGAGGTCATTCTGATGGGTTAGAGGCGGGGTAAGGTGAGCGTATTAAAAAGCACTGGATGCAGCTCAGATTGCACTGCACCAGGTCTGCATCTAGACTTCTTTCGCACAATCTCTACAGGCCTCGAGATGAGTATCCCCAGGTGGAACTAGAGAACAAAGAAAATAATTAGCGTAGCTGCTCTTGATAATGTTTTTAAACAAGAGATATTAAATATCAAAGCAAGAATGAAGTGATGAAAATGAAAATATCAGTTATATAAGCAAACATAGAAACAAACTTAAAGCAAAGCATATAAGTATTTTTTAACAAAATGTCTGGTGCATTAAGACAGGAGGAGTGTGTCCTACAGGTGTTTGTCAAGCACTCTCATGCATATTGTTTTTGATGCATTGTGTGTATGCTTTACTAAAAAGATAGATCTTTAATCTAGTTTTAAAGTGAGAGTGTGTCTGAGCCTCGGACATTATCAGAAAGGCAATTCCAGAGTTTAGGGGCCATAAATGAGAAGGCTCAACCTCTGTTAGTGGATTTTGCTATTCTAGGTAGGCTACTACCAGATGCTCTAAGTTTTGAGATCTTAAAGAGTGGGTTGGATTGTAGCGAGACAGAAGGTTTGTTAGATAAACAGGAGATAGATTATTTAAAGTGTTACAGGTAAGAAGCAATATTTTATAATTAATACAGAACTTAACAGGCAGCCGGTGTAAGGAGGATAAAATTGAGTGATGTGATCAAAGTTTCTAGGCAGAAAGTATCTGGCTGCTGCATTTAGCATTTGCTGAAGTTTATCAAAAGAGGATGCTGGGCAACCAGCAAATAGAGCATTACAGTAACTCAGCCTAGAAGTCATAACAGCATGAACTAGCTTTTCTGCATCTAAGATGGATAGCATACTTTGTAACTTAGTGATATTTCTCAGGTCAAAGAAGGTGGTTTTTGTTAAATGAGACAGGAGATATTCAACTGTTAAGTTGCTGTCTAATATAAAATAAAATATTTCACAATACTGAAGTAAAGTCAACGTTGACTTCCAGCTCAAACAAACTTTGGAATGAGAGGTATTCCCTTTCCCTCATGTAACTCATTTCATGTGTCATCTTCCACAGACCCGCGTAATGGTATTTTGCCTCAAGCTTTATAAAGCTAGCTTCTATTGTTTAGCATTTAGCGCATCAGAAAAAAAGCACAAAACACAGCAGGTGTGAAATAGCTGGATAGCATTACTGTTGATGTTTGTTATTTTGGTATTGCTTCCTCCAGAATACTCAAACAAGGTGGTCGTACCCGTGGGTTTGCACCATATTTCACACTGAAAATAATTCCAGTGAATGTTTTAATGAATTATGTATTTGCGTAAGCTTCTTCTCAGCTACAGGATTGTTGCTAGAAGGGATTTAGCTGCAGCCGGAAGTAACCAAATCTAATTTGTAATATTTATTAAATTACCCATTAATTTTATGTTGTTAACATCTATCAACCCTCACAGTAATTATTTTTGTACAGTTTCGGAGGAAATATGCTATATTGATGTGTGCAGATGCAGCTGATGCAGCATTTGTATTATATTTTAAATGATTAATTTAGTGTTTCAATGATATTGGCAAATTTAAAGATTTAAAAAGTCCTAAATTGTTGGAATCATCTCTTGATGTATGAGTTAAGAAGTTCTATTTGACTGATGCCATCTTTTCATATTTGTTGTCCTTGAGGTCCTCAATGCTTGGTATCATCTCTTCACAGGTCTTGGATCACATCATGGCACTGCACAATATCTAGAGGCCTCAGGATAAGTTTCCCTAAATGGAAATAGAGAACAAAGAAAATAACTAGCGTAGCTGCTGTTCATAATGTATTTAAAAAAAGAGACATTAAATATTAAAGCAGAAATGAAGTTTTATAAATGAAAATAGTAGTTATATAAACAAACATAGAAACAAACTTAAAGCAAAGCATATAAGTATTTTTAACAAAATGTCTGGTGCATTAAGACAGGAGGAGTGTGTCCTACGGGTGTTTGTCAAGCACTCTCATGCATACTTGTTTTTGATTCATTGTGTGTAAGCTTTACTAAAAAGATAGATCTTTAATCTAGTTTTAAACTGAGAGTGTGTCTGAGCGTGGGACATTATCAGGAAGGTTATTTCAGAGTTTAGGGGCCATACATAAGAAGGCTCAACCTCTGTTAGTGGATTTTGCTATTCTAGGCTACTACCAGACGACCTGAGTTTTGAGATCTTAAAGAGCGGGTGGGATTGTAGCGAGACAGAAGGTTTGTTGGATAAACAGGAGCTACATTATTTAAAGAGTTACAGGTAAGAAGCAATATTTTATAATTAATATGGAATTTAACAGACAGCCAGTGTGAGGAAGATAAAATTCGGTGATGTGATCAAATTTTCTAGGCAAAAACTCTCTGGTGGCTGCTGTATTTTGCACTTACTGAATTTTGTTAATAGAGAATGCTGGGCAACCACAAATAGAGCATTACAGTAATCCAGCCTAAAGGTCATATTAGCATAAACTGCTGTTTACAGGATTTTGGCCCATCAATAATGTTTTGTCTAAGAAGGAAATTGTTGGTCAATTAAACAAAAGGAAATTGTTGGTTTTTCAGTCTTTGACATCTTAACAATTAACATTGTTGTAAGTTTCTTCAGCAAATCATGGTAGTAAAAAAAAAAAAGAAAAACAACAAAAAAACGAGATTGACTGGTCATTATTTTTATTTTGAAAAAGCTAAATTAAACAAAATATGAATGTAAATGAGTCTAAAAATTAAAGCAGTATTAAACATTTTTATTGCCTTAATACTTGAAACTATACACGATAGTCATTTTCTTTTCGGCTTAGTCCCTTTATTAATCTGAGGTCGTCACAGCGGAATAAACCGCCAACTTATCAGCATATAGTTTAGCGCAGCGGATGCCCTTCAAGCTGCAAACCTTCTCTGGGAAACTATACACGATATTGGAAATAAATAAATGAATATGGAAATATGGAAAGAAAAGCATTAGGTTCGTTCTACTCTATAAAATCTTTTGTCTGAGGTACTGGTCTGGAATTACACATAGGTAAACTTATGAAATATAGAAAATTGCATGTAGTGTAAATCTATAGTAGCGTGCAGTTAAAATGTATTAAAATAAACATCTGAATGTGTAGTTTTTGGGTGTTTCCAAAATACACTTTGACAATTAGAAATGGTTGCTGCATGTTTTAAAAAAACCCCAAAGATTTAGCCTGAACTGGCTTGATCTGATATCCAAAATATCCCATGAATAATAAAACGTAAATGTTTTTTTCGGTAGTTTCCTATTTTAATTTTAGGGACAACATTTCACAAAATTTTATCTTTCTTCTTCTTCTTTTGTTTTGATTTGGCGGATCGCACCAGTTAAAACTTTTATCTTACATTTCCTATTTCGTCACATCCGGACCCTTGCTCTTTCCTTTCCGCGTCGGCCATTTGTGTTAATCGGTAAGAACACCACGAGCTCTAGTGTTTAGTTATATTTTAACTGTTTTGAGCGCATATTTGCCACATGTTTGGTATTGCATTTATGTACGGAACAGTTATACACAACATGTGTCGCATGTATGCTTGCTAAACCGTTTTCCGTGAGCGTATTTGTGTTAAAATGCGGCAGCAGGGCTCAGCCGCTAACGTTAAACATGTGGAGAGACGCGCTCTTTGAGGCCGCTCTCATAAAAGGAATTGATTGAAATAGTAAATTAATGAAGTTTAAATTGTAAATACACAAGTATGTGTCTACATAGAGCTAATTTAAATACAATTTGACCGGTTTCTCTGTTTACCGCAGACCGAGTTGGTTGACAGTCATCAATAAAAGCGAAGATGCAGAACGACGCTGGTGAATTCGTGGACCTGTACGTCCCTCGTAAATGGTGAGTTTACCACAAACTCGATTTTATGAATGTTTATATTAGTGATATTGTGAGTTTCACACACGGTTCTAACTGTCTGTCTTGTTCTGTGCTTCCACAAATGTTTAAGTTGCTCAAATTACACATTTAAATTCACTCTGCATTGGGGTAAAGATAGTTTTTTTTATTTCAGAAAAGTATTTTTTCACGTTCTAAATAGGAAATCATATCAGCCAAAAAATATTATCAAAGTAACATTACAACATCGTTCACAGTAAATTAAATATTGCTAATGCTATTTTGAAGTCTGAATATTTGCATGTGATTTCACACCAAATATTCAAAGTGGCATAGTAAACAACACTGGGATTTTGACAAGTTTTCACTGTGAAACATTGAATGACTGTGAATATAAAGCATACTTTAACTCAATACATTCCGTCACCCTCATCTTGGTCAAGCTGTTTGTTTTTTCTTGTTGAACAAAGACATTTAGAAGAATGTTGGAGAAAAACAGCTATTGCTTTTATAGTATTTTATTGTTTTTATCGTAAATGGCAGGTAGGGATGTGCAAATCGATGCTCGAGTATCGATATATCGATTCTTAGAAGCTTTTTATTTGGTATCGATAAATTTTAAGTGGATATTTTAACTACATTTTAATAATTTCTGCATAACTAAATGTTTTAGCGCTGTGACGCTTTGTATACAAGACGTTACACCAAACAATCTGCGGCGGAACGTGACGTGAGCGATTAATGTGCATTTCAGATAACTTATGTACTCGACACACGCAAGTCACACACTTCTGCATTGTGGAATGACATGAAGGCAGAGAGGTAACGCAAGGTGTTGTGGTACTCATCAGCTGAAAAAGTGTTGCACGAGCAGTATTTGTCATATAAAAGTCGTACACGGCAACAATACAAACAGCCTTTATAAACACAGGCAACATACCTTGAAACTTATAAAAAAGCGGAACAAAAACAAGCTGCCCAGTGTTCCACTGCTCAGTCTCCCTCTGTCCAACAAAAGACATTATAGGAGAGTTTTAAAGGTGGCAAACCTCTCTCTCTCTCTCTCAATTCAATTGTTGCTTTATTGGCATGACAAATGCTTTGCCAAAGTTTACATTAAAAAGAATACACACATGCATACATACATTTAAACATAGTAAACACAGCAAATGGTTGAATAGTATTATAATATAATAATAATTAAATAAAATAATAATACAGCTCTCTTTTTCTCTTTCGTTACCATTAGGTACGCCCTCCTCCCCCTTGAAGTCGCATTAAATGTATTATCTATATAGCGCCATATCACAGCTTTTTTTAATAAACAAGCTAAATAACCGTATGTTATATTTAATTTATACAACACCATGTCATTTCTGTTCTGTGCTCGCGTCACTGCAGCTAAAATATATACAGATGAAGACATCCCAATCTCTCGAAAGTTATCATTAGTTTGCGGGCATCCATGAGTCTCTATGCATTTGCGGGAGACTCCTGGATGCCCGCAAACTAATGATAATCTCCCAGAAAGGGCGTGTCTCCCGCCCGGTCCTCAAAAACGTCCCGCATACCTCCTCACTCTTTAGATACGTCGCGCACATCCCATGCTGTGATGTGGAGATTTCTCCTCTATCTAGTGTCTAGTTATGACCTCACCTGGAAGCTCTGTGTGTCTTTCGCAAATTCATACCGGCTCTGTGATGCCTCTAAAGGAATTAAAAGACCCGGGAATCATGGCGACGAGAGTGAATGAGCAAGTAAACAGATCGCGAGAGGCACAGTGATGGTCTAAACATTACATTTGATAGGTTAAATGAATAGAGCAGTAAAGATATCGCGAGTGCAAATTCTCCACCTTTCATTGACAGATCTGCTGTCAAAAGTAAAAAAAAATAGCTAAATATTGGAATGGTCCTGTATGCATTTAGGCCTTTTTTTATTTTTTTATTAATTTTTTTTAATTGTATTTACTTATTTATTTATTTTTACATAAAACAGTTTTTTGTTTTTGACTATTACAAATTCACTAAAAGCTGGCTGGAATTATTAGATGAAACTTTTTTTAACATAAGTATTTAAAATAACTTCTTGTTATAGACTCATTGCTATAAGAAGCTGTGTATATGCCTATTTTCTTTTAGTAGACCTTTTAGATTTATAGATGTGCATTTTAACTAATTTTCATCATTTGCAATGTTTCCAAATTGCATTGTTTTTTTTATTTTTCTGTGGCGGTTCATTCTGCTTTGGTGACCCCTGATAAATAAGGCACTAAGCTGAAGTAACTCAATTGTGTGTAAATGTTGCAGAATTTTCCATTTTTTGGGTGAACCATTCTCTTTAATATTGTGGTAAAGTTGTTTTGTATTTGCACATTTAGACTAACCTTATCCACTTGAGTCGTGACAAATTGAACACCGTTTCTGAGTGAAAGCTGCTGCTCATTTGAATTGAGAAAATATTTGTTTATGACCACTTTCTAGTCCTATCACACATTAAAGTGAATTTTATGTAAAATCATGGTGTCACTTTAGAATTATAAGGTTCTATCTGACATTTTTGTCAATTGAGTTATTGACATTCTTATTAAATGACAACTTATTTACAATATGGGATTTTTTTTTTGTAAGTTGTTTACATTTTAAGACTTTTTATTTAAAAAAAAAAACAAATGTTACACACATACTGTTTGCTATGGAATGCAAAAAAATTTGAGCTCATCTCGCTTCGTGTGACATCCCACTTTATTATTATAAATTATAAATTCAGAAAACTATTCTTCTACATTCTAGATGGGGAAATCATTTTAGCAGACAATGTCGAAGTATGACCTGTCACAGTCATTTAAATATCCTAATGCTAATGTTGTTTTAAAGTCATACTTGCATGCGATTTCAGATCGAATGTTTAACAGGGGCCTTCCATAGAGAAGTGTTTATTCATTTTTTAATGCCGAGTTAGTTAAACATATGTTGCGCTCATACCAGTATGCCATGATGATTCATCTGCATTAGCCTTTGTATTGAACATGAAAGTCTGAATGTGTATAGAAAACCAACTTTACCTCAATCCCCTTCATTATGAGCACACACATCCTTAATGAGTTAGTAAATATTAAATATTGTTTTTCTTTTCTTTCAGCTCTGCTAGCAACAGAATCATTGGTGCCAAGGACCATGCCTCCATCCAGATCAACATTGCTGAGGTTTGACACTAGTTAATCTAGCATTAGTGTATATTCTAGTTATGAGAAGTATATTGTATGTAATATTATGTGTATATATCAGGGGTTAGAGATGCGCGGATGGGCTATTATTTCATCCGCAACCGCATGACAAAATTAATCATCCGTCCGCCATCCATCCGCACTAACATTTTAGACCAATTTTTAAAACCGCACCCGCCCGCCATCTGCTGATTGGGCTCTTTATTTGAATGGCTTATTCCTTTTTTTTATTAAATTAATGTTTCTTTATTGATCATTATATAATAGAGAATGACTTTAATGTAGACATGCAGTTAATCCAAACGTGTAAGTCATTAATTGACGACGCTTTGAAGTGACGCTAAAGATACGAGGACGTGTCTTTTCACTTGATTCGATTCCTCGGTCCTTCAGTCTTTTCCTTGCGTCCTTCCCTCGTATCCCGGTGGGGTGGAAACACGAGGAAAGAAAGCAAGGAAAGGAAACGAGGATGCACAAATAAGAAATGAGAAGCGCCCGAGCTCTCAGAATATCAGCAGTGAACTCCGTCTCCAATCGGCGCACAGGGACAAAAATAAATAAATAGCCTAAATTAAACTCATTGTACTATACAACTTTTTTTATTGTAGCCTAATAGAAAACGCATTGACACATCATTTCAACATGCTGCTATTTAGCCTACTACTAAATGCCTATTTCACTTAATTTTTTAGTAAATAGATAGAATAAGTCATTTACATTAATGTTTACATTTGTAGTTGTCCATAGCAACCCCAAAAACGTATACCTGCTTGCCTTGCACATCTAATTAATGGGCACAGTTTTTCGACTATTTTTTATTTTTTGCTGTGGATGTTATTGAGCTTGTAGAAATCTGAAACAACACAGTTCTGCGACACAGATTAACCTTTATTGATATCTCTATCAGACAATACCTATTTTATATGCCAAAAGAAACAACAGGCAGTAAAAAAAATATTAACATAAATATCTTAATGTAGGCATAGGCTATTGTCGCATGCTTTGGCAAACAGTTGAAAATTTTTTTAATAAAAACGTCATATCGTGCCTAAGCCTTGTAGGCTCAGTCACCCCCACAATTAGAAATTAAATTAGAAAAATAGATATGCCATCCCTCTTTGAGCGAACCTGACCAGGCTAAAGTGCATGTATGACAAGTGCCCCAATAACCCATGGACTTAGGATCATCCCCATTCCCCTCAAACTTGAAATAATACGAAATATATAACGAAAAAAAATAACGAAATAATACGCCATTAAATTTGCGACAAAGAAATTCTGGTAAAATAGCCTCGGAACGTAAAAGCGAGGCCAACATGTCTAGAATAGAATAGGCTAAACCAATATGAACGTAAAATTATCAGCTGACCGAACTCAAAAGTTTATATTGAACATATGTGTAGCCTAAATAACATAGGCTAATTGGTTTAATATGCCTGACCTTAGGTCTAGTTTGATTTTTTTCTTGGCACAATGCAGGAATAAAATAGCATCTACAGTGTCAGGATTCAGACGGGAGCGCCTGCATAGCCACTATAATGCGCCCTGCTGCACTGAAGGAGCGCTCGCTCGCAGCACTTGTTGCTGAAATGCATAGAATTCTCTTGGAAAGGTGCTGTAATCATGGGAATGCCTGGTCTTATTTCTCCCAAAGGGAAAGTAGATTTTCCTCTGCTGATCCGTCTATACGGAAGTTTGTAGAGGAATACTTCTGTACACTTCATCCAGAATTAGTGTATCCGATTCCTCCTCCCATTCTGTGAAGTCAGTCCTAGGCTTTTTCGTTGGTGCGCCAGCTATGAATATAAAATCAGTACAACCGCCCGCCACCCGCCCGAATTTAATTAAAATATTATTTTTTCGTAACGTCATCCGCCCGATCCGCGGTTTATCCGCGGAGTCCGCGGCTATAACCGCCAACCGCGCATCTCTATCAGGGGTCACCAAACTTGTTCCTGGAGGGCCGGTGTCCAGCAGATTTTAGCTCCAACCCTAATCAAACACACTTGATCAAGCTAATCAAGGTCTTACTAGGTGTACTTGAAACAACCAGGCAGGTGTGTTGAGCCAAGTTGAAACTAAACCCTGGAGGGACACCGGCCTTCGAGGACCGAGATTGGTGACCCCTGATATATATCTATAATATAGTAAACTAAGCAAAAACATTTTTTGTTGCAGGAAACATGTTACCTGCAACCAATAAAAATATTTGATATTAGCCACTTCTCATACAGGTTTTGTTGTGCTATAAATAAGAAATTAACATTTCAACTACAATTAGTATAAAAATGGCAAATTTAACAAATATAAAAATCTTTTTCTCAGTCTCTTGTGTGGATCTTTACTCCTGCTGTCGTCATCTCTTTGTATCTATGCAGTTTACTAATTGGTTTATTTTACTTTTGTTTGACTTTAATAATCATATTCTGCCACTGTCCAAACAAATATAAATTAGTTGTCTAAATTAGTTTGAAAAGTTGTCTAATATTTGTTTAAATAATTAGAAGTTAAATATAGTTTTTTGGTACCTATTTAACTTTTGGATTTTTTTTATACAATGTCAAAAGCGTGTTGTTTTATGGTATCTATGGAGTCTTAAATTCCACAGTATAAACATATTTTGTATGTGTACTACGTATATATGATTAACAGTGTTAAGTATGATTGTTTTTTTTTTCTGCAAATGTGTTGTGTGGTATTAAAAAGGTTTTAAATTTAACTCTTAGAAACCTGCAGATACCTTGTGTTTGATTTATACATATGTCATATGCTGGATGACCGTGGAACATTATTTCATGATTTTACATGGTTTCTTCCAGGTGGACAGGGTTACAGGCAGGTTCAATGGACAGTTCAAGACCTATGCCATCTGTGGCGCCATCCGTAGAATGGTATGTTCAGACACTCTTAAAGCTCATTCTGCTGCACAAGTACAACATGTGTAGGGAATTACAAAGGTGGTGTGGGTGTTCATATCAGTGGGGAAGCATACAAGGTGTTATTTTGAGACTTTTGCTTGATGATCCACAGGGTGAAGCTGATGACTCCCTCCTGAGGCTCGCAAAGACCGACAGCATTGTGGCCAAGTAATCTGTAAGTATGCAGCTACTTTTATCAATTCATCTGTCAGCACTAGGGCTTTCGTTCTTCTTAGCCAGCATCACTGAGCACTTTACAGACTGACATTGCAAGTCCAAACCTTTGTATTGATACGGTTAAACTTCCGGTGTAAGCTCAATGTGGCAATTTTAAATTTTGTTAGGGTCCTTTCACAGTATCGATGTTGTAATGAAATTAAAATACATTCAGTTTAATAGACTTAAGCATTCATTTATTCAAGCATAAAATGAGATGAAAGCTTGTGTAACAGCTATCGCTGTCAGGATCAGCAGGTGAGCGCAGAAACTCTATTTAAAAAACTAGGGTAAAATAAACAATCATATTTTTAAGACATGGCGGGAGGAAATGTAATTTATTGCTGTGCTTGTCCGATCTGAGACGCACTTTATATGGTATATCAGGCGGTGAAGATCAACAATTTTATTTATTTATTTTTTTTTGAAGAAATTGGACCTTAAACATGGTATGACTGCACGATTAATCGAACAAAGATCACAATCTCGATTCGACCCTACACGCGATTCTAGATATAGATATTCAAGATATAGTAATTAGCAACAGTAGACCTACACACAGGCCTTATATTATTAGTGTTGTTTTAACATATGTTTGAGAATTAACAATAATAATAGGCTAATCTTTCATTCATTCATTCATTTTCTTGTCGGCTTGGTCCTTTTATTAATCTGGGGTCGCCACAGGAGAATGAACCACCAACTTATCCAGCAAGTTTTTACGGAGCAGATGCCCTTCCAGCCGCAACCCATCTCTGGGAAACATCCACACACACACATACACTACGGACAATTTAGCCTAACATTCACCTGTACCGCATGTCAATGGACTGTGGGGGAAACCGGAGCACCCGGAGGAAACCCATGCGAATGCAGGGAGAACATGCAAACTCCACACAGAAACGCCAACTGAGCTGAGGCTCGACCCAGCAACCTTCTTGCTGTGAGGCAACAGCACTACCTACTGCGCCACTGCTTTGCCCTAGGCTGATCATATTAACCTTTATTTTACATTTACAGGATTGTGAGAAAGAATCGTGATCTTGATTTTAAGCAAAAAAAAAAAAAAAACTGTGATTCATATTTTTGACAGAATCAAAATTTGATGGTATTTTTTTATAAAGGAAAGAAGGTTCGCTGGAAGTGCTGAGGCTGGCTGGCTGAAGTTAAAAGTCTGCCCTATTGCTGATTAAATGTGTATTTGTTGTGCTGATGGTTTTTTGTTTTTCTCTTTATAGGAACACCTAAGTTGAAGGATGGGCTCTCAAAGTTTCTTTGGTTAAAAAATAAAAAGTAAAATGAAACTCTTGTGTTTGTGTGTTTAATATATATGATGTGGTTGTGAATGTATGATTCCTTTAGTTGTATTATGAGAATTAGTAAATATTGATTGATCTTTGATTATTTATTGGAATAACAAACTTGTATTACAATATTTAGAAACACTTCACTATATTAGACTGTTAATTAACATGAGTAAACAATGCATGTACAGAATTTATCACAGTTCAACATCTGCTAATGCATTTATAAAATCCAACGCTGTGCTTTGTATATGCACTTAAAATAAACAATGAACTATTTTCATTGTACTGTAAAAGAATAATTAATACTGATAGTTAAATACCTTAATTGTGTCGTATTGTATAGTGTTATTAATATTTTTTATATTATTAATAACAATGTGTTATCTATTTCATTTACATTACTTTCCTGATATTCAGTTTTACCAAGTGTATGTGTTTGAGTGAGATGCCGTGCAGATGATTTCCATGCGATAAAATTGAATATTTTGATCAGCAATGACTAAAAGAACACACAAAAACTCTCAGCTTATAAATAATGCAAGCACATTTCTCTAAGTAATTAGTTAATGTGTCTATTTTGTAGTATTTTTATTTTACTTGAATAATAAAAAATGGTTGTATTTTTTCCCTATGTGCTAGTGTGTAGTACTGTCTAACAAGACACTTTTAGTAGAAAAATAACAACAACGTTGCTCCTCCGTCCGGTAGAGGTCACGGTGAGTTTAAACACTGCGCGCCTCTTTCGCTCTTTTAGAGCAAAAGTGTGTAACTGTACTGTGGGCGACATGCGCTTCTTCCACTAGGGGGCGTTTGGCGGTCCAGAACGATATGATACTAAAGATTTTGACAATTTTTTCACGTGTATAGTAAACATTTAATATTTTTTTTAAAGAAACTTAGTTTAAATATATAAAAGTGCTGTATTCTGTACGTAATTATTACACATTCACTTACCTAAACATTTATTTGGCATTCGTTTGAATTGCATTAAATCATGTTTAGTATATAAGCAAATTATTTGTGCTTTATTTTTGTATCTTTTAATAAATCTGTATTTAACTAAATTATTTAATCCCGTTTAGATTATATTTTACGTTTATTACAAATTTACGTTTGTAGAATTGTTTTATTTTCATAGACCCACTTAATTTGATTTATTTATTTTTTACTTTAATTGACAATAGAAGAACATAAAATCAAAATCCAGGAGATCACATACAGATCTTTAAAAGGGTCAATAATATACAGTAACAAGAAAAGCCCTAATCACATATTCATACAAATAACATAAGGCGGAAAGAAAAACATAGTATTAACAACTATAAATACTAATAATATTAAAATTACTAAATCAAACAAAAAATAAACAAGTGAAATTATAATGACACTTAACAAGCAGGAAAGATACTAAAATTGAGAATCTCTTTTAAACTTATTACATCTATATAATATTTCAGGAATCTTGAGTTTTTTTTTATTCTTAATAAGATGGGGTGCCTTTAGGAGTGAGTTAAATTCTATTCTAAAATGAAAATGGATGGATAGCTATTTGCGAATTTCTGTTTGTGAATGAAAAAATTGCCAGATAAAGTAATATAAAAATATAATGTTTTCCAGGGGTTTGTCTTTTGGGTATTATGATTTAAAAAAATCAATGTATTTGAGACTAAAGCAAGTCACAGCATTGGCAGAATCAAATATGTCAGAACCTAGGAGTACAAAAAGTCCCCTGTGCCCCTTTATGAAATACAATTGGACGTTAAAAGTAGTCGTAACAAAAAAATAGGTCTCAAAAAAAGCTCTGACACTTTATATTGTTGTTTACGTTGCTGTACACCGCTATTTCTCTTTACAAAATATAATTAAAAAGTGAATGTAAAAATTTATTTAGTAGTCACTTACCAACCTCCAGTAACAAGCCCCGCCCATTTCAGACTTCACGTTTCACGTTGTTTCCATTCCAGCCGCCCGCATCATTTCTACGCGTCAATGGCTGTCCTTGTGCAGACGCTGAGGATCTGTAATCCACGCGTGGAGGAATGAATGATCTTACACTGCATGCACGTGTGTTTTAATTACTTGTTTGATTCAGTTAAAGGCTGCGTTTGCTGTAGACTCGGAAATGATTTGATCTTGAATCGACCTCACACAAGATAATCTCAAACCTGGGCAGACCTGCAGTCTGACAGCACTCAAGTGCATCTCTGTTTCTTTGTAAATATATTGCCATATGTGGATTTCTGCAGAATCCAAAACTTACTTCGTTTCTCCTTCAGTCGTCAGAGCAAGGTTTTTCTAGCTCAGAATAACACTTTCTAACTGCGTTTTTTGTTAGCGCGACTCGCTCTGCTCGTCCTTTTTCAAACTGAATTGAACTGAACTGAACCGAATCGCTTCTGAATCACTGAAACACAACAGTCGGCTGCTCCACTTCCAGATTCAAATCCGTATCTAGTCTGAATTCGTCTTTTGGTCGTTATTTCGGACTCAAATGCACACAGCGTCTGCAAGGGAGTGAAACTCCCACACGGAAGTGACTTACACACGTTAGGCCAGTGATTAGTCTGTGTTGTTTTAGGAGGCTTTATTATTTGCGGCCATTGACATATTAGTTATTAAAATGATCCCTGAAAAGGCACCAGGAGGGGACGTGTTACATGCGCCAGGAGACTTGAAGAAAGAAGCGCACATCCCCAGCTTCGAGAAGTACAAAGAGCTCTACATCAAATCAGTCGAGTCTCCTGAAGGTGAGTATCGTGTTTTAGACTGTTGTTATCAGGATTAATAGGATTTGGGGTGTCTCGGAGCCTTATGCCCTTGGTAGACAGCAGTTAAATATGTCTAGGGTGCTTTATTTTTAAGTTAGGGTTATGTGTATTGTTTGAATGAATGTTAAAATAGTCCCTACATTGTTACTTTCAATCACTAAAGCTTAATTTAGCTCTTTGTGTATATTAATGCATCAAAATAAAGTAAAATCTTGTGTTTATAAAAAATAATTTGTGTACATGGAGTTTGGGTGTTTCCCAGTGATGGGTTGCAGATGGAAGGGCATCCACTGCGTAAAACATATGCTGGATAAGATAGAGGTAAAGTTGGCTTTATATTCGCATATATATTTTAATATCGCATTATTTTATATTTGTTCATTTAGCAGTCACTTTATTGTTTACCTAAATATTCGATCGAAATTAACATGCAAGTTTGGCTTTTAAACAACATTAACACTATCTGATTCGCTGTTAACAATGCTGTACTTTAATGGTCATTTGCTGCTAATATGATTTCCCTGTTTAGAATTTGCTAAAAATATTTTTCTGATATTATATTATTAAAGAGAATGTCTGAATATCCGAATATAAAACCAACTTTACCTCTGTCTGGATGAGTTGGCGGTTCATTTCGCTGTGGCGACCTCTGATTAATAAAGGAACTAAGCCGAAAAAAAAAATGAATGAATGAATTTGTCTATAAAATAGTGTGCACAAAGTCAGCATATATTCTTTATATTAGTATGTTTTATGTTTAACCTTTTTCTAAAAGCATGTGACAAAATATATAAATGTTTTATCTTGAACACTTATTGAAAAAAACTATGATTATACAAACACAAACTTCACTACATAATGTGAGGTTATAATAAGGCTGTGTCTCAGAGCCTTATGCCCTTGGTAGACAGCAGTTAAATATGTCTAGGGTGCTTTATTTTTAAGTTAGGGTTATGTGTATTGTTTGAATGAATGTTAAAATAGTCCCTACATTGTTACTTTCAATCACTAAAGCTTAATTTAGCTCTTTGTGTATATTAATGCATCAAAATAAAGTAAATTCTTGCGTTTATTAAAAATAATTTGTGTATATAGAGTTTGGGTGTTTCCCAGTGATGGGTTGCAGCTGGAAGGGCATCCACTGCGTAAAACATATGCTGGATAAGATAGAGGTAAAGTTGGCTTTATATTCGCATATATATTTTAATATCGCATTATTTTATATTTGTTCATTTAGCAGTCACTTTATTGTTTACCTAAATATTCGATCGGAATTAGCATGCAAGTTTGGCTTTTAAACAACATTAACACTATCTGATTCGCTGTTAACAATGCTGTACTTTAATGGTCATTTGCTGCTAATATAATTTCCCTGTTTAGAATTTGCTAAAAATATTTTTTCTGATATTATATTATTAAAGAGAATGTCTGAATATCCGAATATAAAACCAACTTTACCTCTGTCTGGATGAGTTGGCGGTTCACTCCGCTGTGGCGACCCCTGATTAATAAAGGAACTAAACCGAAAAAAAAGTGAATGAAGGAATTTGTCTATGAAATAGTGTGCACAAAGTCAGCATATATTCTTTATATTAGTATGTTTTATGTTTAACCTTTTTCTATGAAAAGCATGTGACAAATTATATAAATGTTTTATCTTGAACACTTATTGAAAAAAACTATGATTATACAAACACAAACTTCACTACATAATGTGAGGATATAACATTAGGCTGTGTCTCTGAGTCTTGTGCCCTTGGTGGACAGAAGTTTAAGAGATCTATGGTGCTTTATATTTAATTGGGGCTAGTTGTATTGTTTGAATGAATGTAATGAATGTCACTAGACAGTTACACTGTAAAACCTCATTTGAACACTTATTGAAAAAAAATTATGATTATTCAAACACAAACTTCACTACATAATGTGAGGATATAACATAAGGCTGTGTCTCAGAGCCTTATGCCCTTGGTAGACAGCAGTTAAATATGTCTAGGGTGCTTTATTTTTAAGTTAGGGTTATGTGTATTGTTTGAATGAATGTTAAAATAGTCCCTACATTGTTACTTTCAATCACTAAAGCTTAATTTAGCTCTTTGTGTATATTAATGCATCAAAATAAAGTAAATTCTTGCGTTTATTAAAAATAATTTGTGTATATAGAGTTTGGGTGTTTCCCAGTGATGGGTTGCAGCTGGAAGGGCATCCACTGCGTAAAACATATGCTGG